AAACAGCCTGGAACTTTAAATGCACTTTTTACCAAGGACTACTCAATAGGGCCTAAAATAGAAGCTGGTGGTACCTGAATTGAATCATATCTCCAAATGTGCATTGTTGCACCCTCAGAGTAGGATGTTTCTTAAATTCATCTACCTCACAGATATGCCAGATACTTGGCCCACAACGGCACACAAAGTAGGGTAGGGGATCCTTTCTCATGTATATTTCAATTCCAGTGACAGGCAGGAGGCAGGTCCATCAATAAGTACTGAAAGTCTACTGTCTTAAAAGATGATAAAAAAATTTGAAGAAAAAGAAAATGGAATGGGGAGAGAGTACAAGGTAAGAAGAAAGAGGTGTTAAGATTTTACAGAGGCTAGTCAAGAAAGGAGTTACTGAGAAGGTGACATCTGGGTGAAGACCTGAAGAGAGCAGGGTGGTGCACACCTATAAACCCAGCACTCAGGAGGCTAAGGCAGGAGGATCGTTGTGAGTTTGAGGCCAGCCTAGGATATAAAGTGAGCTCAAGTCCTGCCTGAACTGCATAGGGAGACCCTGTCTCAAAAAGACAAAAAACAAAAAAACAAAACAAAACAAAAACCACCTGAAGAGAAGAAGCAGGAATTGGAGTTGAGGAGGAAGAGCATTCGAAAAGCATTCCAGGCAGCAGTGTATCTATGGTGTTTGGCAAAGAGCAAAGATTCCTTATCTACATTACCTGCCAGAAATTAAAACTTGAGAGTTTTACATCAAAATCTGAGGCTCTACCATGTCCAGGTTTCCTTAAAAAAAAAAAGACCTGGTAATGCTGGCCCCACATTACTTAATAAAATAATGACCTACAGGTGTTTATATCATGAATTTTCTCCCATAATGGGACATGCATCTTCAATTGAGCATACTCCCTCCCCACCCTTAGCCTCTTCCCCTAGACCCACTGTCAGCTACTTCCTTCATTTCAGCTGTGGGACTTGTTCCTTCAGGTACTCAAAACCTTGCACCTACAACTCAGCATGGCCAGGCTTTGGACAGGAGCATATGCCCACAGCTCAGTGGCTTAATGGAACACAAGATTTAATTTTTCAGTCCATAGAAAACCCAACAGGAGTGGAATGATTCCTGCAGGCACATCTACTTCATGACTCTAGGATGCAGGTTATTTCCATCTGTGGCTCTACCATGTCCACCCATGGATTTCACAGTCACCTTAGAAGGAAAAGAGAGCTTTAAGGGGTCACATTGGTCCTTACATGCTGCACCTTGGAAGTGATTCACATCAGTCCTGCTCACATTTTATTGGCTAGAATTAGACACATGGCCTTGCCTAAATGCAAAAGAGCTGGGAAATGTAGTATTCTCATGTATCCAGAGAAGGACAAAGAACAGGATATAAGTGAAAAGTATTAGTGAGACAGGGACTTAAATAGCTGCTTTTGCTTGGCCAGTGAGTAACAACACATTTTGTGTCCGTCTCCTTTATTAACTTAAACTTTGGATCAGATTTCTGCCCACCTCTAAGTACAAGCACGTTAATCACTTCAGGAGTGCTCCAAACTGGCTTATCAGTCCTAAATTTGCCTACATATCCTTCTTCAAGATTGACTAAAATAAGAGTAAAATGAAGAGATATTTCAAGATTCCCAGGACATTCAACTGGCAGCTTCTCCAACAGCTTGTTCCAGACACCTTGGCACTGTACAGAAGCTGCTAGTCATCACCCTAAACTTAGTCACCTTGGATTCCATCAAAGCCTCTGCAAACAGGTCACCCTTTATGAGATTACTCCATAACTAGGAGCAGTTACCCCATAATAGGAACTGAGGCTGCTCCCCAAAGCAGAAGGAATCATTTCATGAAAACCAGATTTCTCTCTCAACTGATAAGGATTTCTCTGGAGCCACTTTGCAGAAACAAAACAAATCAGTGCATTAGTTTGGGTTCTCTAGAGGAAGAGAATCAATATTAAATATATGTATAATTATGAAAGGGAATTGATTTGGTAGGCTTACAGGCTTTGAGGAGAGTCCACACTGGCCATTTGTGAAACTGAAGACAGGAGAATGCAGTAGCTTCTCAGACAAAGGTGGAAGCCCCAGAAGAATAGGGTCAAGGGCATAGCACAAGGGCCAGATCAGAGGCCTGGAAGCTCCCTAGGCAGCCACCAACGTGTCTGTGTCAGAAAGCTGAAGAAACTAGAGACATGGAGATGGATCTCTAAAGGTAATGGCAACAAAGGATAAATCTGCTCAGCAAGCCTGCAGTTCCTCAAAATGGAGCTCTTTCTTTTCCTTTTTATTCTACCCATGATACAAACCTATTGGCTGGTGGCACCAACAATCAAGGTGTGTGGTTTTTTGTTTTTGGTTTTGGTTTTGTTTTTTTTTTTTTTTGTTTTTTTTTGTTTTTTTTTTTTTTTTTTTTTGTGGTACCAGGGATTGAATTCAAGACCCTGCGCTTGCCAGGCATGCACTTATTCTACTAAGCTTTCTTCCCGAGCCCTCAAGGTGTGTCTTTTCCCCTCAGTTTTCTGCCCTATGTGTCAATCATCCATAGAACAATGCTTTACTAATCTGCTAGACATTTCTTAATCCATTCAAGTTGGCATATCATGATGAACAATCTACCCTCTGTCAACTTAACAACCACATACATCTTTGTGGTAGTTGACATTGTGTCAACTTGAAATGTTGGAAACTTGGCTGGATTGGCTCAGCAACCCCATGCCCTAGGGTGTGGAGGCCTTGGGGAGAGCCAGTCTTGAGGAAGGTTTCTGCACACCACTTCCTTAGAAGAACTTAATCACTACAGCCACACAACTTTGGAAAAGCTTGGATCTTCCCAGCAACTGCCCCACTTCCTCGGAGGAGCTCCAATCTTCACTGCACCACTTCCTCAGAGGATCTTGATCTTTGCAGCTGCCACTTCGGAGAAACTCCAATCTTCACAGCCCCCCGCTACTTCCTTGGAGGAGCACCGGTCTTCACAGTCAGTGTAGACCGAAGAGAGACTTGAAGAGAAAGCAGCTGCTGCTGCTGCTCTGCTTTTTGTTGTTTTCTGCCACCATGAACTGCTGCCATCTGCCTTGGAGCCAGCAGAGTATGGACTGGAACCTCCACTAACTGAGCTAAAGAAACCTTTCCTTTCTTAATTTTAGGTGTTGGTATTCTGTCCTGGCAATGAGTAAAAAGTAACTGAGACAATCTTAAATCTTACTCAATCTCTAAATACAATAGCAAATTCATAATTATGCCTAAGATGATACAACTACATACAAATGGAAATGCATTTATTCTCTCTCCAGAATAGTAGGCACAGTTTTCCTTTGGGTGATATTTATTATTTTCCTGACATTCCATAACTTAAATATTCTAATGTAGATTTAACAACACTTAAGATACTGATATCAGGTCAACAAATGTTATGTTACAAAACAAAGATATCTGCTTAATATATGTGTGTATATGCCCAAGCATGTTAATAAGATGGGAAAGAAATACACATGACAATTATAACCCTCATTTCTGCAGTGGCCACACAGTTATAACTAGTACTTACAATGACCTTCTTCTACTACACACTGTGTCTTTCCTTGGCCTTTAGCAAGCAGCTTAGTGGACCTTGATTCTTCATTTGGTGGTGTTACCCATACCTTCATTCCTGAAGCTTCTGGCTCATTTGTCATTCTGCCTGGATTGCGTTATTTCTCACTGACCTTAATAACAAAGTCCAGTAATACTAAGAGACACCTTAAGAGGTCTCCTGCATTCCAAACATACTCTTTCCTACCTCCTTTGTGCCATAGCAGTCCAAGTTCCCCTTGGTAGTCTGAATCAACCACTCTTGCAAACACTCTCTTTTCAGCTTGTTGACTCAGAGCCGTGATGAGCCCAAAATGACCAGGGAGAAATCTTAGCTGTCAGTTCAGTGGAATCACTATTCTGCCTCCTGGTAGAAGGTTTTCCCCTACTGGAACCAGAACTTATAGGCCAATAGATCATTAGGTCATGAAAACAGGAACCAAAAATTTTGCTAATCAGCCACTAGAGGTAATGGCGAATGGTACCATTTCCATTTGTATCCCTTGATTCCTGGACCCTTGAATCCTGACAGTGGGAGACACAGTACCATATATGTATTTGATGTTGATTCAGAGCATGTTCAGCCTTGGGCAGAACCTTGCCTCAGCCATGGAAGGTATCATCACTTAGCTGGCATTGTAATTGCATCTTTCAACTTTTGATCAATCCAGTTGCTTCTGGATGGTGGGCAACATGGAAAGCCAATGAATTCCTCCAAGGTATTCTTTATGACCCTTTGTCAAAGACCAAATAATTGAATATGTCTGGAAAAGTTTCTGTACTCTCAGTTCTGTCCCATTGATCCATGTGTCTGTTTTGTTCCAGTATCATGCTATTTTTGTTACTGTTGTTTTGTAATATAGCTTGAAGTCAGGTGTTGCTATGCCACCTGCTTTGCTCTTATTGCCCAAAATTACTTTTGCTGTTCTGAGTCTCTTCTTGTTCTGTATGAATTTTATAATCGTTTTCTCTAGATCTGCAAAGTTTGCTATTAGTATTTCACATTGAGATTGCAGTAAATTTGTATGCAGACTTTTGGGGGGTTTTTTCAAATTGAATATTTTATTAACATGGTAGTTGTCTGTAACATGTGCACACACACTCGCACACTCAGAATGATCAGCCTGAGAAAAAAGACTAATTATGCCTAAGGGGAAAATGAAAAACAAAATTTTCTATAGGTTTTCATTATTGTATGCAATTATGTCCACATCACTTACAAAGCTATTGCCAAATCAGGAAGCAGTGTGGGGAGGGGGGTTCATCTTCAGAAAGCCTCAACAGTGCCATAGCAGAGCTCTCAACATGTGAAAGCTGACATAATGTGGACTTTTGCTATGAATTTCTTCTTTTGCAAATATGGGGAGAGGTTTATAAATGGGCAGAAAATAAGAGAAGGCAGTGTGAAGTAGCCTTTTGCAGTCAATTTTCCTCACAGTATTGTGCAGGGTCATTGAGAAAAATGCTTAGTCTTTCTCTAGAACCAGTTTCAGAACTTTTCCAATTGCAGTGGTCTTACCCTCATCTCTTAAGGTAAAACGACTCATTTGGGGGAAGTCTGTAAAGGTTTCAAGGCAGATGGTTCCTGCTGTCTTTAAATGAGCGATACATCCTTGATCCTGTTTCACAAAACGGGGGCGAGTCTTACTTTTTTCTCCTGATTTTTTTGTCTCCCAAGCAGATAAAAGTTTTTATTTCAGCTTCCTCAGTACAGGTATGAATATGCAGCATTATATTCTGGGCAGGTGATGGATTTATATTCTATAATCACTATCTGGGCATCAAATGTGCGTCCAGAAGGACAGAGGTTATTGGGATCACAGAGTATGAATCCTGGAAGAATCTCCTCCTCAAGTCCTTTCAGCCTGATTTTGAGGTTTTCACCTGGGGCTACAGAATCTGTTTCTACAGCATCAGAAAGCAGTCCAAGGACTTCCATGTTGTGCTTGTTCGGCATCATCGCAAGCTGTTGACCTTTACAAATAGATCCTGATTCCAACTTTCCCAGGGCCACAGCGCCCATATCCTTGTACTTATCTACAATTTGCAGCCTGACTAGTTCATCAACTGATCTATTGAAGTTTGGTAAGTTATCCAGATATGGAATAAATGGTAATCCAATGTACCAAGGACAGAAATCTGATTGTTCTTTGAGATTTGCTCCAGTCAATCCTGAGCAAGGCATAAAATAAATGTCCTTTTGGGGATTGAAGCCAACCTTTTTCAAAAATGGCACTAGGTTCTCTTTACATTCTTCTTACCTCTCATTGCTCCAGTTTACTGTTGGATCATCCATCTTATTAATAAGCACAATTAAGTGCTTTACACCTGCTGTCTTTGCCAACATTGCATGTTCTCTGGTTTGTCCTCCTTTTTCAAATCCAGTTTCAAACTCTCCTTTCCTGGCTGAAATCAGCAACACAGCCAGATCCGCTTGAGAGGCACTGCCAATCATATTTAGAATGAAATTCGTATGGCCAAGAGCATCCAGAATTGTGAAATGTTGCTTTTCTGTTTCAAAATAAGCACAACCCACTTCTACTGTCTTACCCTTGTCTCTTTCTTCCTCATTTGTGTCTAAGGCCCAAGACAAGTACCAAGTTTCTCTGTTTTTTTCCTTAGCTTCTCTTTCATATTTTTCAAGTGTCCTTTGTCAACCATTCCAGTCAGATACATTATTTGTCCTTCAGTGGTTGACTTGCCCATATCTACATGCCCAGTGAACACTACATTTACATGTTCTTTTCTCAGGGCATCTGGTGGAGCAGCCACGGATTTAGGCTTTGGCGTTTCCTCTTCCTCCTTTATCATTTCTTGGGCATTTTCCTCAGGTGGCCTTCCATCTCCCAAGGAACCCCCCCCCCCCCCAGCTCTGCTTCACTTATTTCTTCTTTGTGCTCCCACGATTCTTCTGGGGACATTTCAGTCTCTCCATTTTCTACAACAGGTTCTGAAAGTTCCATGCTAACAGCTGGATTTGAACCTCCACACAATGACTGTTGCTCTTCAGAGGACTCCACAGGTACTTCGCCTTGTTAGTTTCCGACCCTCTCCATGCTCACTTCTGGCTACAGAGCAGGGCAGAAGCTGAATGCAGACTTTTGAAAGTATATTCACTTTAACAACATTGGTTCAGCCTATACAGGAGCAAGGAAGATGTTTCCATTTTCTGATGCCCTCTTCAATCTCCTAAGTATTGTAGTTTTCTTTGTAGAGGTCTTTCCCTTCCTTGGTTAGACTAATTTCATTTTTCTTGAAACAACTCTGAATGGTATTGTTGTCATAATTTGTTTCTCATTCTTTGTTGATGTACACAGATGTTAATGGTTTTTGTTTATCTTACATCTGCTATTTTGCTTAAGCTTGCTATTCTAAGAGTTTCTTGAGGGGGGCCTTTGAGTCTTTTATGTAGAGTATAATGTCACTTATATATAATAATTTGAGTTCTTCCTTTCCTATATGTGTCCCTTGTATTTCTTTCTCTTGCCTAATTGCTCTGGCTAATGCTTCAAATACTATGTTGAGTAGATGGAGTGATAGTGGACATCCTTGTCTTATTCCTGATTTAGAGACAATGCTCTTAGTCTTTCCCCACTTCGTATAATGCTGGTTAATTATTTGTCATAAATATTCTTTATCAGATTAGGCATGGTCCTTGTATATAAAATTCAAGAAATTCTTTGGGAGCATAGTATACCTCCCAGAGTCATGTTACGTACCTTACCTATAGGAGCCTTCTGAGCATTGAGCCTGATTGTAGATTTAAAGACACAAAAAGAAAGATCATTACTGTTTTCATTGGCAGGACAGAATTAGTTTTCTTGGGTATAAATGGAGAAGCGACACCACAGGGGGTGGGAAGGGAATTCCTCTGCCAATAATAGTGGGGAACTCTCTTCCCCTGGCAAAATAGAATCAGAATTTAGAAGTTCCGTGGCTCCAGCCTCATCAGATTTCTCCCAAACATCTCCATCTCAATTTATAGGATTCCGTTATTTTCTAATCAATGTCTTCAGTTTAACTGCAGATGCCTTCTGAGGCCGAGCATTAAACTTGCACAGTTGCATTATAAGAGCTTGTATTTGTTTTTATTTTGGGGGTTGTTTTGTTTTGTTTTTTGCAGTACTGGGGATCAAACTTGGGAACTTACACTTGCCAGGCAGGCACTTATGCTGCTGAGTTATCTTCCCGGCTGTTTTCAGACAACTTCAGCTCTATAACTAAAAAAGTTTTTCTTCAGGACTCATTTAGAAGCCTTAATCACTTGTCTTCTTGCTGAGATAAAATATCCAATACCCAAAGTTAAAAGATGAAATATTTATTTCAGCTCAAGTTTTCTAAAGGTTGCCGGCCATACCTGGCTGGCTCCAAGGCAGGGCAGGGGACTCTGCAGAGCAGACCCAAGACAGTAGCAGACAAGCGGGAGAGGCAGCAGCACCCTCCCATCCTGCCTATGCTCTTCCCTTTATATTCCATACAGGCTGTAAACCTGGGATTGGTGCCACCCATGCCCATAGTAGGGCTTCCATCACCCACCTCCTTAATCCCAGTATCACATCCTTAATCCACATTCACACACCTTAATCAAGCCACCTTTGAAAGTCCCCATCTATCCTCATTACATGAAGCTTTGGGTGGACATTTAGATACAAACCATAACAGTTACACATATCTAGGGCTAGGAATTTAGTCCCTATCATTTTCTTTTATTACTTTGTCCAGAGATGCTAAGAGCAATCAGCCAGCATTATATTTCTTACCCTTTCAAAATGTTCAAAAATATTGTATATAGAATCACTAAAATCCTTGTGTCTCATAAGTGACAAATTAGAATAAGCAAATGGATCTACATTGCATATTACTTTAAATAGACCATGTTGTAGACTATCACTACTCTCTACCAGAAGGAGAAACCACAGCAATTTTTAGGTCCCATTAAATTACAAAGCCAATTCCAAGAACCACTAAAGCAATAAGAGAAATTCATCCTTACAGTTCTCTTTCTCCAGAACCACCCTACTTCTAAATTCTGTGTTAGGATTCTCTAGAGGCACAGAATCAATAGAAAATATACATATAATTATGGAAAGGGATTTATTAGGGAAGTTTATAGATGGAAGGCAGGAGAATCCAACAGCCATTTAGCCAAGAAGTTGGAAGCCACAGACAAAAAGGGATCAAGAATGCAACATGCATCCAAGGCCTGGAAGTTCACTGGAGGGTCACCATGTGGGTCTACACTGGAAGGCTGAAGAAACTAGAGATGTTGAGAGTAATGTCCAGAGGGGGAAGCAACCAAGGATGGATCAGCTCAGAAAGACTGGAGCTTTTCAAAATGAGGGTGCTAAAAAAAAAAAAAAAAAAAAAAGTGCTTCCTTCTTCTCTCCCTTTTTAGCCCATCCAGGGCACAAGCCGATTGGTTGGTGACCCCACTGACTAGGGTGGGTCTTCCCTCAGTAGTTTGCTGGCCTACTTGTCAATCATCACAAACACACCCAGAACTGTGTTTACTAATCTACCAGGCGTTAATCCATTCTAGTGGACATATCATTGTTAACAGTGGCAATTACCCATACTGTGCCCAACCCCCAAAAGCCAATAGAACCTGGCCCCTCCCCTTGGTGCTGTGCCTCCTTCAGTTCTTCTCCTCAAGCTGAAGTTCCTTCCCATTTCCTTTTCTCTTTCAGTTAAAGCTTTTGCCTGTGAATTTGTGCTCTTTGCTTCAATTTTAACTTCTGTTATCACTAACATAGAAATGCCCTTGTTCCTTAATATTATTAGTCTCTTCCTGATCTTTACTTAAAATCGTATTTAGGAACTGTGCATCTAGTCTCTGCCAGAGCCATCTGGGGGTATCTATGATGTGGTATCAGGGAGAAATTTTCCAGCTCCCCACCCAGGTGGCTGATTTACCTAAGTCATCTTCAGTAATTATATACATGCCACAGAGGTTAAGTACATGAGCTCTGGAATCAAACAAGTTCTGTTTTAACTATGGTCATAACCATTACTAGCACAATGACTTTGGCCAAGTTTTCAGCCTATCTATCCCTGTTTCCTTGTCTGTAAAATGAAGATGAGTACCTACCATATAGGGTTAATGTGAAGGTTAAAAGACATCATACATACAAAGTGCTTTGGAGAGTACTTAATAAGTCCTTGACAAGTATCCACTGTTCTCAGTAAGTATAGATCATGTTGTTATTATTATGAGATGTTTTCAAACTACACCTATGCTCTCCCCTTTATATTCCATACAGGCTGTAAACCTATGATTGGTGCCACCCACGCCCATAGTAGGGCTTCCATTACCCACCTTTTAAATCCCAGCATCACATCTTTAATCTACATTCACACATCTTAATCTAGCCACCTTTGAAAGTCCCCATCTATCCTTATAAAATAATTTCAGACCAACAAGTTATGAAAATAATGTAAAGGGTGCGCATATGCTCTTCCTAAATTCCCCAAATGTGAACATTTTACCATGCTTCTTTTTTAAAAATTCTCTTTCCACACACACATAATTTTTCTCAAATATTTTAAATTATTACAACTATGATGGCCCTTTTCTTCTTAGTACTTCGCTGTGTATTTTCTAAATACAAGGTATTCTCTTGTACAACCATACTACAATTGCTGAAATAAAGAAGCTGACATTGAAACAATTGTATCAACTAATACACAGATATTATTCAGATTTTGCCAGTTGCTTATTTACATCCTTTTTTTGTGGTCCCAAGATTCAATTCAGAAATATATTTTTGGGCCAGGGAGATAGCTCAGCAGCATAAGTGCCTGCCTGGCAAGCTCAAGGTCCTGAGATCGATCCCTGGTACAAAATAAAAA